TAAGCTGACTTCCATACTTTTGGAATTGTATTTGTGTTGAGGGAGAGGATAAAAAGAGAAGTAAGAGATGGAGCAATAAAATCTGCAGCTATCTTTAAAAAGAAAGGTTCTACGTTCTCCGGGCCAGCCGGTTTCTTAGGATCTAACTTGGTTAATGCTTCATGAACAACATCAACAGTAAAAGGAGTCAAACTGAAAGGGTTTTCCAGACCACATTGTTCAGAGTCAGGGATTGGAGTGTTTACAGAAGCAGAAGCACAGTCAGTGACAGAATCAAATAGAGAACCACAAGTCACAAAATGCTTATTAAAGCAATTTAGCATAGTAGCCGTGTCTGATATAATGCCAGATACTGTGGTGAGGCAAGGAGGTAGCACCATTACATTAGAATGGCAAAATAAAATCGCCACTCTCATTACAGCGCCACTTTCCGAACAGGAAATGAACGCAAATGCAATCTATAATATATACAATCTATATAATCTATATATATAAAATATAAAAATATTGTATTTGCGTGCATTTCCTGTTCGGAAAGTGGCGCTGTTCAGCTCTTGTATTTTAGTTACACCCGCTATATATTAATTCGGTCAACATTGGACCTTGACACTGTCCACAGCTATAGTGAAATAATATAATAGAAAACATTAAGCCTCTTTGATTTAATAATCGAAGATGAAGCCTCTCTGCCAACTCATATAACACACACTTCCTTATCTATCTTTGAATAATAATAACGTAAAAATAAAGATGACTATACTATCCTTCGGGGGGCGGGAAAAAAACGTCTTTGTCACTTCCTGTGCTGAGAGTGAAGGTGTCCTGAGATTGGCGCCTGCACCGGAACTGCCCTGAGAGTGGAGGCCTGCAGGCAGACCCCTCTCAAAATGTCTGCTTAGTCTGGTACACAACTATATTCATTTGAACACTTGGCAGCAAATGTTGTTGCACTATGCCACTTTCAGAAAAACTTTCAAAAAATTCTTGAAATGTAAATGGTTGATGACTCATCATTTATTAATTAAAGAAAATTCACACACATGAAAATAAAACGTATGATAACAAAAATAATGTGGCATTAGTAATATCACCACTAAAGCTACGCTGCTAATTCCCATGATGCTTACTGAAGTATGTTGAGGCCATTTAGGGCACTTTTCTGGGATAAATCTTTAACATACTTAAATGCTTGCATACAGTAGCTTAAATAAAGTCATTGTTTAAGTCATTCAACTATGAACAATTAAATATATATTAAGGTATACTATATTTATTCAGCGTTGGAAGAATTAATCAGATCCTTTACTTAGGAAAAGTGCTAATTAGCACAATTTATTGATAAATGTACTCCCAAGTATCAAGAGTAAAAGTACTCTCTATGCAGAAAGGACATTTTCACAGTATTATATTATGGTAATTTTATGATCCTGTTTTTATAAATGTAAGAGCAGAATTGTAGTTTGAAAACGTGGACCAAATGTAGATACTACAATACTGTGTAGATTACTGGTGCAGTACTGCAATATATCCTATCAGCATATCAGGTATTTTATATGTGCAAAGTAAATGCTAACTGTAATGTAAGCTCTTTCTCTTGGCTCTGGATCTTCTTTGAGGCGCTGGAGAAATTAGCCTTTTCCTTCTTAATGGCCTCCTCCAGTCTGCCGTTAGCTCCTCTGTCGCCCTGAAGCTCCTTCTCATCAATGTGCAGTTGAGACTTACCTTTTTTAATGGTGACGCTTTGCCCAGCGCCCACATGTTATCAATCAATCAACATTTATTTATATGGCCCAATATCACTAATTTTACATTTGTCTCAGGGGACTTTACAGTTCGTACAGAATATAAATAGCAAAAAAAGACACCCTCTGTCCTTAGACCCTCACATCGGACAAGGAACAACTTCCAAAGAAGCCTGACAGTTACCGCCGGCAAAAATGGAAGAAACCTTGGGGAAAGCAATAGCGGACAGACGTGCAACAGATATCGTGTGGAAATTAAAAAGATAATACATTTAAAAAAAATACATAGTCAAAATTATAACAAAAAAAACACATTTGCGTGGGTGCCATTCGCACACTCAAATTTCCTTGGAGGATAATTTTCTAGTGTGCTATACAATTTGACTGGAAGAGATATGGACTGAAGTCTGGGCGTGGGTTTCCTTAAGCATAGCTGAGCCTCTCATGTCTGACTTGGAGGGCAGTGTGAGTCTTGAGCAGCTCACGATACTCAGCGTTGATGTCACAGTGCCTCCTCCCTAGATTGGTGTACTCCTGCTGCAGGTGGTAAAGCGCCTTATTGCTCTCCAGGGAATATTTCTGCTCCCTGAGCCTGAACTCGGAGTCAATGATGTTTCTGAAGTTGTAGTTTGTCTCTGCACGTTGTTTTTCCTGAAGCCTGGGGAAGGTTTCCTGAGCCTTCTGCAGAGACAAGGTCAATTTGTTGTTTTCCTCCAGAGTTGTGATCTGCTTCTTCAAAGCTTCTTGAAGCTCGACGCGGTGCTTCTCACACCTGGTCCTTTCTTTTTCCAAACTGGAGGAGATCTGATCAACAGTATGGTGCAGCTCAGAGTTTCTTGTCTTTTCCTGTTTAAGGGCTTCTTCGAGATCGGCCTGTCTCATCTTGATCTTTGATTCCTTTGCTTGGAACTCATTTACAATGCACTGTAGATTAGTGATGGTAAACTGATTGTCAGAAATGCTATCATTTTTCCTTGACAGCATCTCTTCATGGCCCGCAGAGAGAGACCGGAGTTCAAATCTTTCTCTGTCATATTCTCTCTCCAGGACAAGGAATTTAGCCCTGATGTCAGCATTTTCCATCCTTAATGTCTGCATGTCGTACGCATATGCTTCTCTCAGTTGAGTGAGGATTGAAAGATGTCCAGCTGACGCCTGCTTTCCACCATCCTTCTCAAATCGCTTCTTCTCACTTTTGAGAGACGACTTTAGGAGTTTCTCGGCTGTCAGGCTCTTTTCCAAAGCGAGGGTCATCTCAGACAGCTCTTTCTCTTGGCTCTGGATCTTCTTTGAGGCTCTGGAGAAACGAGCCCCCTCCTTATTGATGGCCTCCTCCAGTCTGCTGCAAGCTCCTCTGTCGCCCTGAAGCTTTTTCTCTTCAATGTGCTGTTTATTGAGAGCAGCCTCCAGTTCACTTTGCAGTCTTTTGTTCTCATAGGCGAGGTGTTGGTTCCCCTGAGTCAGACGGGTCAGTTCTTCTGCTTCCTTCTTCTGCTGAGAAACAGCAGCCTCGTAGTCCCTCTGCAGTCCCTCCAAAGCCAGGGTCTTCTCAGACAGCTCTTTCTCTTGGCTCTGGATCTTCTTTGAGGCTCTGGAGAAACGAGCCCCCTCCTTCTTAATGGCCTCTTCCAGTCTGCTGCAAGCTCCTCTGTCGCCCTGAAGCTTCTTCTCTTCAATGTGCTGTTTATTGAGAGTAGCCTCCAGTTCACTTTGCAGTCTTTTGTTCTCATAGGCGAGGTGTTGGTTCCCCTGAGTCAGACGGGCCAGTTCTTCTGCTTCCTTCTTCTGCTGAGAGACAGCAGCCTCGTAGTCCATCTGCAGTGAGCTGCTTTTTGTTTCCTCCTCTTTGAGGTCTGAGGCACACTTATTCACTCTCTCCTGTAGTGAGGTAACAATGCTGACCTTGGCTACAATGTCGCTTTGGAGATTCAGAACATGTGAGTGCAGGGATTCAATGTCTTTGTCTTTTTTCAGACTTTCCTCCTGCCGCTCAGTGAGGCGGTCCTTCATTGCTGTAACTGAGGCAGTATTCAACACAAGCAGCTCTGAGATTTCTCTTTGGTGCTGGCTGGAGGATGCATGCTGAGCTATCTGGAGCTTCTCAATCACCTTCTTGTCTTCTTCAAGCTCAGAAGTCATTATAGTGATTCTGTTTTTCAGCTTTGCTTTGCCACGCTGCGGCTCTTTTTGTGACTGTTTCAGAGCAGCGTTTATGAGCTTTATTCTATCACAAAGGGAATTATTTTCAGATTGCTCATACTTCAGAGCCTTTGCAAGGGCGTCTTTTTCTTTTGCTCTGCTTCAGGGCTGCTTTGTGCTGAGCTGTAGATGTTTTCTCCTTCATCAAAGCCTCTTCAAGAGCAACTTTGGCTTTTCTCTCCTCAACCAGGGCTTCCTGAAGGCCAGATGATTTGTCAGATCTCGCATTTCTCGCAGATAATTTGTCAGATCTCTCAGGTGATTTGTCAGATCTCTCAGATCTTTCAGAGTCCTCTGTCTGTGAAACATAAAACAATTATTATTGTGTCGTCTATGTGCAGTGATTTTTATTAAGAAAACAGAAGTGGAGTTAACTCTGCATCAATGGGTGTGAAAAATTATGCTGTGATCCATTGCATTAAAGATTTACTATTTTGATTTTTTTTTTTTTTTTAAACTTTGGTAAAGAAAGTAAAGCGTTGAGTATTAGCTTTTTTTTTACAGTTTTCACGAGTGTAAGTGTGACATGTGTGCCACTGAATTTAATTCTTACCTCATCAAAGGAAGTGTTGCTGTAGTTTTCTTGCTAGAGATGGAGGTCTGCTCCTTAATATCTTCCTCCACCTCCTCAGCAAACTCCTGAATCTCCTCTTTGATTTCTTCCTCCACCTCCTCAACAAACTCAATTAATAAGTGTTTTATAATGACTAATAAAGAGCCTACTGCTGATATGTATGTGAATTAGCAACTAGTTGATGATTTGTGTACCTTAATATAAAGTGTTACCGTTATTTGTAAACTATACTTAACTCCTGGCTGTGCCATCGTTTTCTTATTGTTCTGAAGGCTGTATAGCAGGTGATCATGGTGCTAAGCCACACACACAATTTAATAAGAAGGAGGATGTGATAATGATGGTAAAAATGTTGATTATTTTTACATTCTGTGTACAGTGTAATTACGGATGGGTGGTCTTTAATATAGTCAAATTAATTTACATAATTCCCTCTGTAATTTACATTGAACAAACCCTTGGCAATTGCACTGATACAATGTGTTAATTGTTTCATTGCTGATGTATAATGCATTAATAATTCATACACTGGCCATGTTGATTTTTCCTCTATTTATCAAGAAAAGCTGATCCTGCAAATCCCACTCTCATGTCAAGGCTACATTGTTTATACATGCATTCATGCATATGTAATCTGTATTTGAAAAATCATTTTCAAGTCCAAACACGTTCACACAAAGAACTGTATCAATCGTCATGTTGGATGAGCTCAGGGTTTTAAAAGCAAATTTCTCCAAATGTGCTTCATGGGTTTAAAACAACAGGAAATTATCATTATTTCAACATCAAAAGCCTTGGCTCGTTTATGCATGTATTTACAGCTTTGTGTTTGTTCATGTGAACGTGTGGATGAGTAATTGTGCTTTATGATCTTCAAACCCACTTTTGTAACAAACCTATAAATGGAAACAAAAGACGACAATAAATATGTAGGGACAATCAATTTAACGTAAACAGCCCCCCTCTCCTCCTGCACATGTGGACTTTGAATGCCCTAATGTGCTAGCATACAAATTAGAATGCCCAAAAAAAGATTTATTATGCCCTGATAACTATTTTCTTAAATAAAGCACTGTATGTCCAAAATGGAGGATACGTCACAGCCACTGAGCCGCTGAGAGCACAAACAGCTGACGGCCTGATCACAGAGTTCAGAATCAATACGACTTCTTTGCAATGATGACAGTACATTGAATTTTGCACCACATACTGCGACGGATATATAAGCAAGTCAGTGCAATGTTATGATGGAGTAGAATTTATTGGGGCAGCTTTAGTGCGTGTTCTGACTATGGATAAAATGTTTTCTCAATGCTTCCACAACTCTTTAGAAATGCTTTGCAGACAGATGAACAAAAACATTATACAGTTAGTCAAACAGTAACTCTAACCCTAACAGCTGAAGTAGAGTCAAATCTGTAATGAAGTCAACTAGGGAGAGTGAAGTCGTGACACTGGAGATGTTCAGATCCTGCGTTGGACTGTACCAGAAATGCAACAGAAATTAAAAATGAAAACCTGTGTAGAACAAATTGGTTCCTCTGTCCCTCATTCTTCTTTCAGATACATGTGAATGTTTTTGTTCAATTAAAAGGATCTGACAGGAGAATTTACATATCCCAAAGACGACCATCCCTTGTTTGACTGTTTCCATACACCGATTGAATGTATATGTATAGATATGTATGTATGGTCACATGTATGTGTATTGAATATATATGTATGTTGATATGTATGCATATGTACATGTGTAGACATTTGCTATTTCAAACAACCCCTGTGTACTTTTTCGTTTTTATTTTATTTTGAATTCCACCATCTTCATGTAGAAAGAGGCTTCAGCTGCTTTCAGTGCCGACACCTTGGAGATCAATAGCCTAACTGCAGTGGTTCTCAGCCTTCTGCGTCACATTTCAAGGTTAAAAACAAGAGGCGTCATCATTATGTTCTCATGCATAGGAAGTCATTTAAATCATTGGTAGCCAATTAGATGATTGGATATTGAATTTCAAGGGTGATGATGTTAATATTTTTTTATTTACTGGATGTCATGTGTCTAAAAATCTCTTGAGAAGCTAAAGCAGGAGAAATAGCTCTTCAGTTTTGACTCCCCGTTGCTGACACAGCTGGATACAAATTAACCATTATGTTGTGTGTGTGTGTGTCTCCGTTTGGTTGCCAAGCGACCATGGTAGACAATGTGCCTCTGCCTGATCGGGTGTTTCTGTGTGTATGTGAGTGACGCTGTGTTTGCTTTGTGCTCGACATGCTCCTGGGGGATTGTGGGGGGGGGGGAAGGTGTCCGGCGCCGGGCACACATCAATACGAGATCAATCAGATCACCACTGGGTCGCAGTATGAGAAAAATCTGATCCTTCGAGAAACCGTCCCGATGGCAGAGTGATAAAAGGAGGAGAAGGCATTTGAAGCATGTGCTCAGATGTGCAGCCTCCCTAAGTGAACTTAAGAGGATTAGAAGGACTTTTCTGCGCACCTGGGTGTTCAAATCTGCTCCAGCTTTGTCCTGTGTACTCCATACCGGGGAGGAGCCGCCTGCAGGCCAGAATTACTCATTGGTATATAAGAAGAGCTCATAACTCGCTAAAGATATTCGGAGTAGCAACAGAATAATAAATGATGAGCGAGAAACCCTTAGGAACGTTAACACTAATGCAGTTATCAATCAATGCATGAATAATAGATACAAAAATATAATCAAAAGTGATCGTTGAGGGTTTTTATTGATCTAACTGGTCAGAAATCTCATTTAAGATACACTGTGAATATGTGGCCGTGGATCTGCTATGACTGCTTTACTTGATATTTAAAATATTAAGCTCCATTAAACCTTATGGACATATGACATATCCTTTTTTTTTCTTCAAATATCTAAGAACCAGTGCTTATTCTCTGCCTGTTAGTGCTTAGGATAATTATGTGGATACAGCCATCCGATCCTAATGAAAGGATCCAAATGATAGTGTAGCTGGAGGCAGTGGCAGACATTCAATCTGTCCTGATCAGGCATTAGGAGCCCCTAATAAGAGAATACATCTGTCAAAGGCCTAATCAATAGAACACCGAGCCGGCCAGCCCAGGAACAGAGCGTCGTGATGAGGAGCCAGGCACGTCCAATCACACGCTGAGCATGACACCGACTGACTGCGTGAGTAGCCTGCTCTGCTCTCAAACCCTTTTTCTTTTCTGGAGCATATAGAACATTTGCCAGTATGAAGCATCGTGCTCGCAGAATGGGTGATCATGACTCAGTGGAAAAGGTTATAAAAAGTCCAAGAGTGAAAAGATGAAATGACTCACATTTGTTCTAATTTCAAAGGCTAAACTTAATGGGAGTCCATTTAGTCTGGTTTCCTCCAGTAACTAGGAGAGGCTGTTTAGGTTACATATTCTTCCTTTAAGCCAGGAAGTAAAGTGGTTTCTTACGTTCTTGAAATGTTGCCATCAGTCACCAAGCCAAGAAAGTGATTTATAATACTTTCTACCATGGCCAAGGGGAGTTATTAGGTCTGATTGGCCGTTTGTAATATCTTCTGTGGCTCCTGAGAAACTCCGTGTCTGAAAAAGAATCTCCTGAGTTCTCATACACGGCTCGTACTCTTACATACAAAGACTGATGCGTTATAACTTGTGTCAAATTCAAGTAATCAATTTCATACGCAACAAAATACTCGTGAGCCAGGGACGGTGACGCAGTATATAGAGCAAATGAGTGTTCCTGAGCTATAGGGTGGCAGCTGCAGCGTATAGGTGGGTCTGAAAGTATATATTTCAAACCTACATATTTGATCTCACATCTTTACTTTAAAATTCAATGTAAAACATACGGTGTATATTCATGCTCTGTGTGTCACTGTGTAGGCAGATGTGTGAGATGTAAATGTACTGACAAATGGATCAATTCAAAACTGATTAATATGAACCTTTTTGTAATTCACCCCCATTTTTAAATCACATTGTGAGGTACAAAAAAGATGACTGTCCAAAGCCCCTCATACTTGTATTACTTGCCTGGCTGCAACTGCTTTGCTATAATATTTTATTATCCATTGAGACGTTCCACCTGGAGCAGGGCCATTTAGGCACTTTTACAAATTAGAACATTTAGACATTTTTCACAAAGGATATCTAGAAGAAGCCAAAGATTGCTCGTATCTCATGGAAACATTTACATTGAGCTCAATACAAATACATTTAATTTAATTTAGGTTTACATACATTTCAAGTCATGTAATATGTCCCCAATTTGTCATGTATATGCTTTACTGTGTGTCAGTGACAGCTCAAT